TCTACACTGCAGGATTAATGCAGTTTGACACCGCTTTAACTGCCGAGGCTCAATGCTATGGAATTTTAGGATATGTAGTTTTGTGAGACATTTAGCCTTCTCTGTCAGAGAGCCCTAGTGCCACCACAAACTGTAAATCCTTGGAATCCATTGGATGGATCCGTGAGAGTTAACATGGTGCCAAACTGCATTACTTCCATAGTGTGGCAGCAGCTTTAAATAGTCTGGAAGCATATTGAGCAGTTCAAATGATTTTAAAATTAAACTGAAGTTTTGGAATTAAACAGCTATCAGTGATTCCTAGACTTTGGTCCTTCAGGTATTTTGAACTTCAGCTCCTAGCTTGGCCAACAGTCAGGAATTCTGGGAACTGAAGTCTGAAACATCTGGAGGACCAAAGTTTCGGAACCACTGAGCTAAACCTTAATAAATAACAACAACCATGGCTTAGCTTGGTGCTGAAATGTTGTGCCAATCAAAATTAAATCAGAATTCGATGAAAGGGGAGGGCTTTCCCTAATTGGGGTGCCACCGCAGAGAAAGCCCTGATCCTCACGCAGTGTATTGCCCTCATTGGTGGGACTCCGAGGAGAGTCTCTCCTGCGAATCCAAGCCTTTGGGAAGATTATATGGGAAGGGAGAGGCTCTCCTTCCAAGTATCGAGACTCCGAGATGTTGAGGGTTTTAACTATCATCCCCAGCATTTTGAGTTTGCAAGTGTTATTGGCAGCCAGTGCAGTTCCCTTAAGACCAGTGATGTATAGATAATGGAGTCTGTCTGGTGCTCCCGTCAGAAGTCCGGCTGCTGCACATGTAGGCCTCTCTCCTCTAAACCTGATGGGGTTTTTTTTGAAAAGCTGCAGGTCTGATGGTGGTGGTGATTTTGATAAAAACACCGCTTTTCATCAAAGGCATTTCTCTTGTTCCGATCCTGGTGTTGGTCAGCTTCATTGGGGGAATCCAGATTTTAGTCCTGGAGGGAGAGTCATCTGTTTGCCTTCCCTCCCTGCCATAACTAGCCTTCATGGGGACCCCAAAGCAATCTGCCTTCTAAGGTGAAAGCCCCCCAAAGGCAGCATCTTCCACTGTGGAACAGCTCTTACAGTGAGAAAGTTCTTCCTAATGTTTAGGTGGAACCTCTTTTCCTGCAGGTTGCATCCATTGCTCTGGGTCCTATTCTCTGGAGCAGCAAAAAACAAGATTGCTCTGTCCTCAATATGACACGCTTTCAAATATTTAAACAGTGCTGTCATGTCACACCTTAGCCTTTTCTTCTCCAGGCTAAACCTACCCAGATCCCTAAGTCTTTCCTCAGAGGGTTTGGTGGGTTCCAGGCTTTCCACCATTTTGGGCACCCTCCTCTTCCTCCTAGCCTTTCCTCAAAAGTGGAGAGTCCATGGGCCACAAGTGTGATATGAGCCGTGGTTCCTAGGGAACGGATCCTGAGCCCTTGCTGGGCTTTTTTTGCCAGTGGTGGGGTTGGTGGGTTTTTGCCAATCGGGGAGGCAGTGGAGCCCAACCCAACCATCTCCTTTGCTGTAGCGGCTGCTTCTTTTGCTTGGCCTTAAGGCTTTCCTCCTCTTTTTTTCTTCTGCTTCTTCCAGAAAACACGAATGCCTCTCTGTTCCAGAAGGAGTGGGAGGAACAGCTGCTGAAGGTAAGCGGATCTCTCTCTCGCCTGCAATGGTTTTAGGGGCAGGCTAAAGTACGGTGATGGGATATGCAGTGTAACAAATGATGTAAGGGAATGGCTGACACCCAGGTGTTATGATAGCAAAAGAGAGCGGCTGGGCATAGACCGAAACATCCTAGCCCATTCGGCTGGGAAGGAACTGAAGGAGAGAACAAATGGGGGTGACACGGGAAAAGAGAGAACCAGAATTGTTGTGAGTTTGTCAAGAATCAGTTGTGAGTCCACCAATATTTTGAAATTATGGTTGCTTTAATTAGATAATATTAACACTTGCTGTTTTGTTTTGACAATGAATGTTTCTGGTGTGGTCTATAGTTACTGAATAAAGGTTTGCTGAGTTTTAACTACTGAATTTCTGACCTTGGTTGCTTGCTGGACTCAACAATTTCTGCCACGACAGGAAGTGAGTAGGGCACAATGTGTGAAGGATCAGGGCCCACAGGGCAGTTTTCTAGAGGCAGAAAAAAAATCTGACATGTAAGACATTGGAAAAGGCAGGGCAGGGAATTGTATGGCCCTGCTGAAGCTGCTGGACTGCAACTCCCAGCAGTTCTTTAAAAGTCCACCTCTGGTTAAGGAGCTGCTGGGAGTTGCAGTATTAGAAGGAAGGCAGTGTTCTTAGAAAGAGTAACTTTCTACTACTGAAAGGACCACTTCTGTAAGGAGTTTGGACAGCAACTACAGAACTTTCTGAGAACTGAATAGCCCGCAAAGAAGGCCAGTTGAAGATAAGGCTGAAATGCGTTGGGCTTTTTAAGAAATAAAAGGTTTCAACCACTTTGTCTCCTTTCATTCTTCCTCTTTAAAGAAAGCCCATGCATTTGAAAACTTTGCCTAATACCACTCATCTTTCTGCAGTTTCTTCAGGAGACCCTGGCAGCCATTTCGGATACCTCCTGGACTTCTCAGCTGATTCTAGAAATGTGCCGGCAGTTGAACAGTTACAACGGATCGCCTTTGGAGAAGGTCTGTTGCTTGAACTGAGCCCAGGTCAGAACAGTGTCTGTTTTACAGAAGCAGAGGCTCAATCGAAGCCGACTGAGTCTGCCTGCTTTGGGGTGGGCATGTGGGTTGGATCCTGGAAGAATCTGGCTGGTATAAATTTTTCTGGGCCAAGGCTGTGCCTGGCCACACAGTGGAGTCCTTTCTGCTTTGGGCCTTGGTGAGCAAGGCTCTGTTGGGGCTGTTCCCATGTACCTAGAGCTGTGCAAGATGGCACCCACTGGGACACAGCCTGGGCTGCCATGCCTTGGGCTTGCTCACAGCTCTTCTGCCATCCACCAGAACTTCCTCTACAAATGCATTGGGACTGCGCTGGCCACCTGTGCCAACAAAGATCTGGTGCGGAAACAACTTCAGGAGCTCCTGGAAACAGCCCGGTATCAGGAGGAGGCCGAAAGGGAGGTAAGGAAGCTGGGGAAGGGGGTGGGGGTTGTTGTTTTAGATTTAGAATCATAGAGTTGGAAGGGATCCCAAGGGCCATCTCATCCAACCCATTGAAGTCAGTGCAGGAAACCCACAGCTAAAACACACTGAGAGGTGGGCATCCCATCTCCACAAAGCAGACCCCACTGCTGTCTTGTTGAGCATGAACAAGGATGGGACCCAGGACCATGTGTGGTTTTCTGGGCTGAGATGCAAGCTGCTTATTGCCCCCTTATGATGGAGACAGAAAGGGGCAGGGAAGCACAGACCAGAGGGCATTGCAGCAGGTGACTGAGCAAGGGGTCTTCTGCTCTCCTCCTCCTCCTCCTCCTCCTCCAGGGTCTCGCCTCCTGCCTGGGGCTCTGTGCGGCAACCCACCTGGATGATGCCCTCACCAAGCTGGAGGAGTTCGTCAAGTCAGACGTCTTCAAGAAATCTGCAGGCCTCTTCAGCATCTTCAAGGTGAGTGCCAGCCCTCCCATTCCTTCCCCATGATAATCTGTAGGGAGCTGGGCCTCTGCAGATGGGTTTTGGAGTCCTTCCCAGCATCATGTCCGAATGGCCAAAATGCTGCCCAATCCTATGGAAAGGGCTCATTTCTATTAGCAACCTTGTTAGGTGGGAAGAGATGAGACAGCTTGGAGCAGGCTGTGTGTGTTTGTGTGTGTGCATATGTATATGTGTATGTGTGTATTCCTCTGTGGCAACCCTGCTCACACAATTCTCATTACTATGTGAGGAGGAGGAGAAAGATGGGTCACACTTGCATACTTAAGAGATTTTCTTTGTTTGCTTGTGCACTATGTAGCATTTTCATCACATTTTATTTTGTTTTAACTAGTATTGTAAACTGCTTAGTGTCTCATATTAGGAGAAAAATGCAATATGAATGAATGAATAAAATAAATAAATACATAAATAAATAAAGGGAGATGCAGTCAGACTATCTGAAAACCATGGGCACTGTGAGTCTTTCTGGTGCCCAGAGCAGGGAGACAGCCCAGTGGCCTCCAATGTACAGTGCTGGCTCTGCATCTTCCTCAACGCCTCCTGGTTGCCTTTCCTTGTCCCCAGGATCGCAGTGACCATGAGGTGGAGAAGGTCAAGAGCACCCTCATCTTGTGCTACGGTTATGTAGCCAGGCATGCGCCTGGGGAGCTGGTGCTGGCTCGGATCGACACTGAAATCCTCCGGAATGTCTTCCTCTACTTTAACACAAAGGTGGATCTCTCTTTCTCTTTGCTGCCTTTATGTGGCTAGGTGGGAAATTGGGGAGGGGGACAGAGAGTCAGCGCTCTGCGTCATGAACCCCCTGAATTTTTAACCTGTGTCTCCTTTATTTTGTTCAGGTTCTGGGAATAAAGGTAGAAACCAAGGTACAGTTTGAGGCCCTCACCTTGTCCTCTTCTGTCCTCTCAGTCTGCCTCTCTGTTTTCTAGCAAGCTTGTAGGATCAAAACCACACTGAGACATAGCAGCAAAGAATTCCCTGCAGCCCCTTGACTTATATCCCCCATTTTCCCAAGAAGGCATAGAGTAGGAGGGCACCATTCCCTACTGGCACTGGAGGAAAATGAAAAGGCCATCTAGGATTTAGAATCATAGAATCCTGGAGTTAGAAGGGTCCCTCAGAGACCATTGCATCCAACCCCTTGCTCAATGCAAGA